CCGGGGTACGAAGGAGCCCCGTTGTTCCCGTGCCAAACACATGTTTTCCACCAGGGGAGGGCTGTGCTTGCGGCAGCGGGGCCCAAGAGAGAGTCGCAGTCTCCTGGGCTCTCATGGGTCTCGACCTGCAGGAAGTCTCATCCCACTGGACAGCAGTGCCCACGTCTCAGGGGCCACAGTGCATGCACAGGGCTCGGCTGTGGTCCAAGAACAGAGAACAGATCCTGGTGGGACGGCCACCTCGCGGCAGATATTTTTCCTGCAGATGTAATTTTTCCTTTGGGACTTGATGAACTCCCTGCGGCACATTCACCTGCACAGAGCAGCTGATCCTGTCAGCGAGACCACGTCCAGCATCATGGCGATGCCTGTCAGTCCCCCACACACTTCTGGAGACAGGCGACTTCTCCCTGGGACCTCTGGCAGGTGGGTCCCATCAGAGCCAGAGTCAGGGAGGACAGTGGTAGGAACACACGTCCATCTGAGAACTGGAGCATGGTACCGGTCAGGGTTCTACAGAACCCACAGGAAGAGAGCTGGAAGTAACGGGTGCTGGACACAGGGGTGGGGCGTTTCTAAAGGAGAGGAGCAAGAGGAGGGCGGGGGGAGGAAGGGAAAGAGGAGAAGGATTGCCGGTTTTCTTCAGTAAACTCCTTATTTTAGAACAGTGCTGAATTTCCTCACATCCTTTCCCTGTTGTGAGTTAACTGACATCAGGACCACACATTCACCATGATGGATGACAGATACCAACACGTCTTCGTTAGCCAAAGTCTATATTTTACTGTGATTTCCTTAGTTTCCATCTGACCTCCTTTTTCTTGTACAGGATCCCACGTCACATTTCGTTACCAGAGCTCCCCAGGCTCTTCTTGGCAGTGACAGTTTCTTGTTTTTGTGTTTTGTTTGTTTGGTTGGTATTTTGTTTGTTCCATACTAGGAATTGAACCCAGAGCTTCACACAGGCTAGGCAAGCGCTCTACCTCCGAGCTACATCCCCAGCCTCTTTCGTTTTTTATTTTGAGACAGGGTCTTGCTAAGTTGCTGAGGCTGACTTTGAACTTGTGATCCTCCTGCCTCAGCCTCCCAAGTCCCTGGGATTACAGACATGCACCGCAAGACTTTCCTTGTTTTTGGTGACCAGGATGGTTTTGAGAGGTACTTGGCAGGTGTGTGGCAGAATGACCCTGACCATGCATTATCTGCTATTTTGCTCATGGTAGGGTAGGGACCATGAATTTTGGAGAAGACCACAGAGGTGAAGTTCAGCTATCCCATTGTCGAGGGTACACGCTCTTGACCTTGACCTTCATCATCTGGCTGAGTAGTGCTTGTTGAGCTTTTCTCCTTGTGAAGTCCCTGGGCTTCCCACACAGTACACTGTGGAAGGAAGTCACTATGCAGGAACACACTAAGGGAGGGGACTTAGGCTTCACCTTCTTGGGGATGAAGAACTTCTAAATCATTTGAACCCTACTGCACTCTGGAGGTTTATGTATTCTCTTCCATTAATTAATTCACTTATTTAATTGTACACACATATATCAGTGTGGAGTTACGGCTATGTATTTTATGCTTGGGTTATTTATAATACAACACTGTATTGCTCAAATTGTTCCCGCTTTGGCCACCTTCAGTTCTTCCAAGTGGTTACTATGTTCCTTGGACACGTCTTCTGCTGTGGGTTCGTTGGATTTCCTGAGCACTTTCTTACTTTGGGGTACAGTAAACAGATCCAGCCTCCTCTTGTCCGTTCCCTGCCTGTCTTAGAAACCAGCCATTCCTCCAAAAGGGTACAGTTCCTTTTATTAAGTGGTATTAAGAAAGGTGCCAAACCAGGCGCAGTGGCCGCATCTGTGATCCCAGGGGCTCAGGAGGCTGAGTCAAGAGGATAGCGAGTTCAAAGCCAGCCTCAGCAACTTAGTGAGGCCCTGTTTCTAAATAAAATATAAAAAGGATAAAAAGGGCTGGGGATGTGGCTCAGTGGTTAAGAGGCCCTGGGTTCAATTCCTGGTACCAAAAAAAAAAGGATGGTACTGAAAACTAAGATCTGGACACAGGGTGTGCCCATTGCCACAGGAGTGACGTTTCTGTTAGGCCCTCTCCGCTGACAGACTGAGGAAATCCGTGCATATACCCCAGCCCATATCTGGGACTATTTGTAGGCACCGCTGCATCTGCATTAAGCAGAAGTTGGTTCCACGCTGATTTCTCTACCACTGGCGCACTAACAGGATTCATTCCGACCTTGCCCTTGGCTGGTCTATGGGTTCCTACTCTGACCCTGAAAGCCTGGCTCCCGCCCTCCGCCCTCGTTTATTCCAGTCTCAGTGTGTGATTCTGTTTTATTTTGCATACATGCGAGCTCACTTGACCTGGTGATGTCAAGGTCACGTGCTTCGACACGTGCGGCATGGCGTATCCACGCCTCAGCGTCATAGACAGCAGTTTTTACTCTCCTAAAAAGAGCTCCCCACTCCCTCGTGCAGCTCTCTGCCCTCCCCAAGCCCCTGGAGACCACTGGCTTCTATTTTAAGCTCCCCCTGCTTCCTGGCTGCCCTCCCCACGCCCTTCCACCACGTGCCCCACCTCAGCCCAGGCGCAGGCCCATGGAGTCAGCCGACCCCAGACTGAACCTCGGGCTCCGTGAGCCAAAGTAGACTTTTCTTCCTCTAAGTCGTCCTCGTCAGGTCTTTTGGTCACAGTGAAGCGGGGAGGAAGACAACAACATCTTAACAATATTAAGTCATCTAATCCCTGAAAATGGAATCTAAATTTATTAAGATTATTTTTCTCCTGCCACTATTTTCTAGTTTTCCACATACAGACCCCATGCATATTATGTCATATTTATAACTCAGTACTGATTTCTTGATTGCTCTTATAATTGCTAATGTGGTTTTTCAATTCCAATTCCGATCGCTCATTGTAAACGGCAAAGCAATTGACTTTAGTATATTGGGCCGTGGCTGTGCCCGTGGCACACTCCCCTGTTAGTGCCACGAGTTTGGTTGCTTTTGTTGTTGTTTTGTTTTGTTTTTGTCGTAAATTTGGCATTTTCTACATGGATAATCACGTCTCTATGATAACAGTGTTTTTCTCTCTGATCTATATGTGTGCCTTTTGTCTAGCTCATTTTCTTATCTTATTGCTACAGCTAGGATTTCTAGTGTGATGTTGAATAGGAGGGGGAGAGAGACTCCTTGCCTTGTTTCTGATTTTAGGAGGAAGCTGTCTAGCCTCCCACCATGAAGTGTGATATTTGTAAATATTTTATCTAGTTGAAGAAATTCTCCTGTATTCCTACTTGGATGAATGCTTTTTTTTTACATAAATTGATAGGATCATATGAATTTTCCTTTCTAGACTGTTCATATGATAGACTACATGGATTTTTTTTTTTAGTGTCAAATCATCCTTGGATACCCACAATTCCATTTAGCGTTGGTTTATAATTCATTTTATGTATTATTAATTATGATTTAGTAATATTTTCCAATAATTTTTGCAGCTGTGAACGTTAAAGCTAGTGGTCAGTAGCTTTCCTGCTTTAGTTGGCTGTTCTGCTGCTGTGACTAAAAGACCTGAAAAGAATCATGTTAGGAGGAAAAGTTTATTGGGTGCTTGCTGTTTCTGAGGTCCGTGGACAGTGGACTCCACTCCTCAGGGTAGAGGTGAGACAGAAGAACAGCATGATGGAGGGTGTGGCAGAGGAGAATCAGGAAGCAGAGAGACTCCATGTGCCAGATACAAATTGTACACCCCCAAAGTATAGCCTGGATGCCCACCTCCTCCAGCCACACCCACCACCTGCAGTGACCACTCAGTTATTCCCCATCAGGGGATTCAGGCCCTCAGAACCCACTCATTTCACCTCTGAATGTCCTTGCACTGTCTCGTATAGGAGCTTTAGAGGGACACCTAATATCTAAACTGTATCATTCCCTTTCTTAAAAGTCCTTATCAGACTGTAGTGTCAGGTGATGTTGGCGCTGTGGTCTGAACCAGGAGGCAGCCCTCACCAGACCCCAAATCTGCAGATGCATTGAGCTTGACTTCCCAGCCTTCAGGACTATGGGAAGCAGATCCCTGGGGTGTAGAAGCTCCCAGTTTACAGTGTGAAGTAAGTCAGCCGACCTCATGGAGGGAGTCGGAAGCATCCCCTCTGCCTAGGTTTCCTGGGGACAGTGTGGAGGGACATTGTTTCCTCTTCGGAGTTCTGCTCAGTGCACCTGGGACACTCTGGGCCTTCTGCTCCTTCTCTGGAAGGTTGACATTGCTGAGTGTGATGAAGGTTGACACTGCTGAGTGTGAGGCTGCTCTTTCTGTGTGAGTTGGCAGTTCGCGTCCTTCAAGGCCCCGATTCCCGTCACCTCCGTCACACTCGTGGGCACAGGGTGGGTTATAGGATCACCTGATGGTGCTCCTGGGTCCAGAGGATCTGTCATGAGGACCCCTCTTTCATTCTGGCAATCTGTGTCTTCCCTTTTTTTATTCCTAGTTGGCGTGACTAGAAGTTTATTGATTTCATTGATTTTTTCAAAGGCTCGGTTTTTGTTTCATTGATTTTGTTCTTTGTTTTCCTATTTTCAATTTCATTTTTTGACTGGGATTGAATTGATTCTATGTCAATTTGGAGAGGATTAACCATCTGTTTTACTCAGCTTTCTCGTTGCTGTGACTAAAGGACCCGAGCAGCTCCACCGTAGAGGAGGAAGAGTTTATTGAGGGCTCACGGTGTCAGAGGTGTCAACCCATGGACAGCAGCCTCCATTCCTCAGGCTGGAGGTGAGGCTGAACCTCATGGCGGGAGAGTGTGGCGGAGGGAAGAGGCTCACATGGGGATCAGGAAGCAGAGAGAGACTCCACTCCCAAGATACAAATATGTACCCCAGGGCCAGCCCCATGCCCACCTGCCCAGCCACACCCACCACCTCAGCTGCCATCAGCTCATCCCAGCAGGGGACTGATCACCGACTGGGGGACGACTCTCACCTCTGTCATTTCTCCTCTGACCCTTCTTGCCTTGTCTCACACCTGAGCTTTTGGGGGACACCTCATTAAACCACAACACCATCTTAACAATACAGACTTTTGGCCCAGAGCTATTTAGGTTTTGTTTAGCTCCTCTCAGCAATACTAAGGGTTTTCCTAAATATTTCAAATTTCTAAGGTTATAATAATGGCATTTTAAAAAATTCCTTACTGTTCATTGTTCACCAGCAAACTCTGATCGTTTGTGTTACCGACCCCATGTCTTGTACACTATCTAAACTCTCTGTGGCTAGTTCTAGTTAGTTCTTTTGTTGATTCATATACCTTTGCCATTTTTTTGCTTATTTCCTATGAGTTTAAATTTCACCTATTTCACTCCTTTAATCAGAAGTGCAGAGGGTCTGCTTTTTAAGAGAAATCTTCCCAAGGTCAGACAGGGATGGTGGACTGAGTGGCTGCACCTGGGCGTGGTGGCAGCAAGACCCAACATGCACTGGGGATGAGGAGTCTGGTGTGCCCTGGCCATGGGCCATGAGTGGAGGGGACGATTCTGAGAGCAATTTGCCCCATGAATGAGAGTGAGCCGTGTGAGGGCTGTCCTGGGGGTCCCTTCTGCAAACGAGGGTGTTAAGTCCAGTGCAGATTTAGCGTCCATCATGGAGGGACATTAGACAAAGTAGGAGAGGGCCAGGGAATGGGGTATTCTGCAGCCACTAAAGCAGACTATGTCACAAAGTTCTTTGGTGTGAAAAATGGTTTTATTCTGTTTGCTACAAACAAAAAAAATAGTTTTATTCTGTTTGCTACAAACTTACCAGCTAAAACCCCAAATGTTAACAAAACACCCACTCATCTATCACCTCCCAGTTGTACAAGGCATAAATCCAGGTGGACCCCAGGGGGTTCTGCCCGGGGTCTCACAAGGAAGGCCCAAGTTCTCAGCTCTAGTTTGGAGGCTCCAGGGAAGAACCTGCTCACAAGTTTGTTCAAGTGTTTAGAATTTGGTTCTCTGTGGTTGTCTCTTGGCTGGTTGTTAGCCAGGGCCGTCTCAGCTTCTAGAACCTCGGAAGGCTCTGCCTTATACGATTACCCAATAAAAGCCTAGAAGATTCAAAACAGAACGTGCAGTAAGACAACATTTTTTATAAGAAAGAGGCACATAGTAAAAATTTATAGGTAATAATTTCTTTTTTATAATAAATTTATAAGTAATAGATTTCTTTTTCATCCTGCTTTGTTTGTATGTTTGTTTTTTACAATAAACGAACATCACTCGGATGCTATGAACGGTTTACACAAAACCCAAACCCTTACAAATCCACCTGCAAGCTGGAACTCAGGGGGCCTCTTCCCAGAGACACAGTGTTTGGGGTGATTCGAGTCCTGTGACTTTCCATGAAAGACCTTAGTCCCCAAATCCTAGTCCCCACTTGTTACTCCTGGTGGGGCCCAGATCCCCAGGTCTAATCCAGGATGTCAGGAATAGAGGCTCCGTCCCCGTCCCCTCGCCCTCCAACCCATTAGCTAACCCTGTGTAATGGGTGCTCCCTGAGTTTACAGGGGTGTAACGTCCCTGAAATGACAACATGGTAACAATGGAGAGCAGATTGCTGAATGCCGAGGGTTAAAGACAGGAGAGGATGGGAGGAAATGGCTGTAAAGGCAACAACCCCCCCGGGTGGGAGGAGAGCCCCAGCAACGGTGGCTTAGGATGCAGGAATCTCAAGACCCAAGAGAACAGCCCGCAGACAAATGCATGCACACACACACACACACACGCACACGCACACACACACACCACAGGCACACGCACACCGCGGGCACTAGTGCATATTACCGTCACCCCTCAGCGTGTGGTATTACACTATTGCTCTGCAAGATGTCACCTTGGGGAGGGACAAGGAAAAGGCACATGCGATTTTCTGATTTATTTCTTACAGCTGCCTGTGAATTCACCACTGTCTCAAAATGAAAGTTTAACTTTTAAAAAGTGAAGGACAAATGAAGATTTTTCTTGGCGAAATTAAGGAAGGGAACGCATTGCCGGCAGCCGCGCCCTGCAGGAACTCCCAAAGCCCTCTGAGCAGAAAGAGAACCTACAAGCTGCAAACCTGAATCTGCATAGAGCGGTGATGGGTGTCGGAGAAGGAAAAGTGAAGGTCAAACGCAAGAACACATTTCTCTTATTCCTCGTTGATTTGAATTCCTATTACATTGTGCAGCTTTTTAAAACTTCAGAGCCGTTTTTTTTTCGGGACTGGGGATTAAATCCAAGGGTGCTTTACCACTGACTGGCATCCCCTGCCCCCTCCCTTTAGGTCTTGCCAGCTTTCCCAGGCTAGCCTCAAACTTGCCATCCTCCCGCCTCAGCCTCCCAAGTAGCTGGGGTGACAGGTGTGCATCATTATGCACAGCGTCTAGAGCACCCTCCTCCTGTGTTTGTTTAACTACAGTGTGAAGCACGCCTTGCAATTTGGCAGACTCAGGTATAGCTTGGGTCTATGAGTCAGTGCCTGGGAGGGCCTGGAAAGAATGCTGACAGCTCAAGGTTCAACCCAAGGCTCACCCAGCCGTGGCCTCCGGTCTTGTAAAGGAACCTTGACAGCTTTTGTTAGAGGGTCCCACTGACTAGCTTAGCACATAGATGCTGTTTAACGCCATGGTCATGAGTGGCAGATGCTAGTGCACTAGAATTAGGCAGACTGAGTTCAAACTCCAGCTTTGCCTCTTGGTAGCTGTGTGACTTTGGGCTATTTAATCAACATCTCTGGCTCCAATACTGTAATGGTATTTTCCAGGACAGTTTTAGAGCCTAATAAATGTGAGAAAGACCACCACCATGCAATTGCCTCTGTTCACTTCCTCTTTCTTCAGGGTACTCAACTCCTTCCGACTGAGCCGCCAGTGGGTGCACTTACATAGGAGACCTGGTTCCTTGACGAAATTGGTATGTAGGACCCAAGCACCCGTCTGCTACCCAGAGTTTATTCTCTGTAGGAGATTGAACTTAACTACCACTTCTTGGTTGTCCTCAAAACTGAGGTGGAGGCCTGTCCCCCAAGCTCTGGAGAGCAGGACCATTGTACGGCCTTCTTCATGGCTCCCAAAACTGGGCATCTTGGTTCTGATACAATTCTGCAGTCCATCTCTGCCCAGCAACCAAAATGTGGCTCTAGACATTTGAAATAGGAGCTGTTAATGAGCAAGACTCCAGACCCTGTCTGCTTAGGTCTCTCTATTCTGCCCTTGGCTCCCGTGACCCCAACCACACCCATCTTTCTGTTTCTCAGTTAGATAAACTCATGCCCCCAGCCCCAGGGCCTTTGCATATGCTGATCCCTCTGCCTGGTGAGCTTCTCACCTGACCTGACAAGCTGGCTCCTCAGTCCTTGTCCCTGCAGCTCTGCTGTGGCGTGTCACCATTGTCTACAGCAGAGTCTCCTGCTTGTCTCCCTCAGCGTCATTCCTCCCACCTACCCTGGGCCCTCGCCATGCCCAGAATCGTCTCATCCCTTGACTTTTTCTGTTCCTTGAGCAACATCAGCTCCGTGAGCCGAGGGACAGTGACAGAGTGCTATGGATTGAATATGATCTGTCCCCTCTGAGCTCCTGTGGAGTTTGACTCCCCTGGTGGTAGTAAGAAAGGGAAAAGAATCTGACGTTGCTCCTTAGAGGCGGCCTTGAGAGGTCACGAGGATTGGTGATTGGGTGGAGCCTCCGTGACTGTACACTGCAGCTTTACAAGAACAAGGGCCAGCGCACGTGTGTGTGCATGCACGCTCACACACACACACCCGCCCAGCTCCCTCCGTGGGATGCTCTACACCCGCTTGGGCCTCTGCCATAAGAAGGCCACCACCAGATGTGGCCCCTCGACCTTGAACCACAAGCTAAAATAAATTCCTCTTGATAATTTCCATAATATGTGCTCTTGTGTTGTTAGCCCATAGAAAATGGGCTCAGACCCCAAGAAATCCCTGGTGCCCCCATCAGGGGCCGCACCCAGGGCAGGTGCCCCCCGATCTGCTTATAAATGAATGACAGCCCCCCACCCCGCCCCCACCCCCACTGAGGACTTCCTACACCTGCAGAAGTGACCCTGTCCCTGCCCTGCCTGGAGCTCCGTCTGTGGATCCGGAGCCATTCAGATCGGCTCTCTGCAGCTGGCCCCGGGGATGTGCCGGGATCCAGGGGCCCTGCAGGGCGGGTGTGAGTCACGGAGCCCATTGGGAACAGCTGACACCAAGGTTGGGGGGCACCCAGGAAGATTTACGCCTCGTCTTGCACACCTCCTGTCCCCCCACCCCCACAGTGGCCGTGATCACCAGCTCTGCCGCCCGTCACTCAGCCCGCTGGGCCACAGCCAAGCCATGCTGCCCTCCCCACAGCCACAGAGGAGCGTTCCCCGCGCAGCTCCGGGAGGGGAATGAGTATTCCAGAAAGATTTCATTTTTGTTGGACTCTGTCCACCTCTCTATATGGTCATCAAACTTCAATAGGAAACTTCCATTTTAGAAAAAGGAGGGATAATTAAAAAGAGATGGCACAGCTCCTGCGGAGGCTGGGATTAAAGGCCCAGAGGCCCCGGGCGGACGGGGAGGTTGATGAGCTACCAAACACACCCCACACAGACGTGCAGCCAGTAGAGACGGCCCGGGTGCCCTGAAGGTGGGGACAGGCACTCAGGGTCCCTGTGCCATATAGGGGCGTCAGGGTGGCCTAAGACAGTGTGTGTGGGCACCAGCTGGAGAGGGCCCCTGGGTCTGTAAGCATTTTTCCTCATCACAATTCTTAATCACTTTTTTTGAAAATTAATAGATGCACAGTGTGAAGAAGTTCACATGGAACTCCCTCCCTGGGCCCCCCATGGCCAGTCTCCTGCGAGGGCCGCCCTCGTCGCCCGCCAAGCTGCAGGCTCCAGTGACGCAGAGAAGCCAAGCGCCAGTCCCTGTGCTTGGAGCCGGAAACTCCACAGGGGCCAGTGAGCACATCTCAGAATTGACCTGTTTCCCCTGAATTTCCACCCTACAAACCTGGGGAGGCTCCTTCAGATCCTGCAAATTTGTAGTTTTCCATGGAGAAAGAAAATAAGAGGCGTAGGGTCCTGGTGGCCTCTCTGGGGTGACCCTGGTATGGCGTGAGCAGCTGCCTGTGGCCTCCGCAGCTGTTACTGAGTGGTCCTGGTCTTCCCACTCCTGGCCTTGGTCGCCTGTGGACAGTGGGAAGGAGAGGGTTCCCCTGGGCCTCCTCCAGGAGGGTCCTGCAGCTTTCCATGTTTTAATGATATTTACAGCTGGAAACGAACCAGGCTCACAGCCACGGTGGCCATAGGGTGGGTAAGTCAGGGCCAGGCCAGCCCCGTGGAGCTGGTGTCCAGCAGGAGGGGACACACAGCAGCTGGGAAAGGGACCTGGCCCTGCGTCTTGTTGGTATCACACTCAGAGGTACTTCCCTGGCCCCCCAGTCCTGAACCCCATGAGCCAAGTGGCCGAGCCTGTGGCTGTGCCTGAATGAAGGTGGACAGAGGCCCCCAGGGCCACTGCTCAGCAGCCAGCCAACCACCCCATCTTCAAAGCTGTGCCGTACCCACCCCGTCCCCCCACCACCACCTGGCACCTCAACCCCAGACCTCAGGGTGGGTCCCAACAATTTTGAGTCCTGTGTTCCTGGGGACGAGCTTCAGACACTACGGGAGTGTCCCAGGCTCCCAAGACCCACTAGGTCAGTTAGAAATTAAATGGCCACTCACACATGCAGCCTCACACACACACCTCACCCACACAACCTCACACACACAACCTCACACACAGATACACACACAACCTCACACACGCAACCTCACACACACCTCACACACACAGCCTCACACACACAACCTCACACAGCCTCACACACACAACTTCACACACATACAGCCTCACACACACAACTTCACACACATACAGCCTCACACACACAACTTCACACACACACAGCCTCACACACACAACCTCACATACACAACCTCATACACACACAACCTCACACACACACAGCCTCACACACACAACCTCACACACACAACCTCACACACGCAACCTCGCACACACCTCACACACACAACCTCACATACACAACCTCATACACACACAACCTCACACACACACAGCCTCACACACACAACCTCACACACACAACCTCACACACGCAACCTCGCACACACCTCACACACACAACCTCACACACACAACCTCACATACACAACCTCATACACACACAACCTCACACACACAGCCTCACACACACAACCTCACACACACAACCTCACACACACAACCTCGCACACACCTCACACACACAACCTCACACACACAACCTCACACACAAACACACAGACAACCTCACACACAACCACACACACATCTCACACACACAGCCCCACACACACATCTCACACACACAACCTCACACACAACCACACACACATCTCACACATATAACCTCACACACATACAGCCTCACACACACAACCTCATACACACAACCTCACACACACAACCTCACACACAAACACACACACAACCTCACACACACAACCTCACACCTCCAAACTCAGGCACAGCAAGATGAGCCCAGCGTCTCCAGGAGGAGCTGTGCTGCATCCGCCCCTCTCTTCCGACGTCACCGCAGGCCAGGGAGCCGCCAGCCCAGGGAAACCCAGTGGGAGGAGCGGATAGGTGCAGTCACATTGCTGCCTTGGACAAGGACAGGACCGTCCAGAGAGTGCGGATCATGCCCCATGAACAGCCAGTCGCCTGGGTGCCACGCAGCTCCATCCTGCCTGGTGAGCCAAGGAAACGGAGCCCCAGGCAGGTCAAGGGTCCGGCTGTCGTCCAGGGAGCCCCGGGTGCCTCTCTCGCGTGCTCTTCTCCAAACGCATCCTCTGTCCCCCTCTGGAGCTGCCCCTTCACAGCCAGGACAGCAGCGAGCTCACAACAAAGCCTGAGCCTGCTCTTCCATCTGCGCCCAGCGGGAGCCAGCCTGGGTGACCTCAGGCCACTCTTCCTCTCTCCAGGTCTCAGAACAGAACAGCTGAAGCTGTCCCATCTTGGTGGTCAGAGGTGGGTTCATCCATGAGGCCCAGACTCACCAGCCAGAAGTGTCTGCTCAAGCCGCCCAGGGCCACGCGGCTCCTCTGATAGACCTTCTTTTCGAGGTCCCTGTGTCCTATGAGCCACGCTGCACTTATCGACAATGCTGCATTCTGCTTTTTAAATTCGGGTTGACCAAAAATGTAGCCAACTATCACATAGTGCTCCTGACGAGCAGGAGAAAACCAAAATCTCCATGAAGAGTGAGACACAGATCTAGTCCAAGGTAGGACAGGTAAAGCTTTCCTAACTGGACCCCCTTCCACTGACTTCCAGAAACTGCCCCCCGCCCTGGACTTCCTTCACAAACCCTCTCAGAATCCAGGGCCCTTGAGCTGGGAGGGACTGGGTCCGGCTTCCTAAGGTTCCGGTGTTGTACAGTATTTAACCTGAGAGAGTCCGGCTACCCAGAGGAAAGGAGACCAGGACGTCCATGTACCGCCAGTGGAGTGGAATGTCATCTGCTGTTATTTGTGGAGGTCAGTTTTGCAATACATTTTAAAAACCTTAAAAGAGCTATAGAAGTTCCAGCTCCTACTGCAGAAAAGATTTATAAGTTCTGAATAAAATGTAAAAAAAAAAAAGAAAAAAAAAACATGATTATTTGAAAGTTTTGGGAGCAACCAGAAGCAGACAGAAACTGAAATTCGACCTTTGAAAGAGGGAACTGCACGGGGTGCGATCTGTCCCCACTGTCCTCTCTAAGGGCTCCGTCCAGTCTGCCCAACACAGAGCTGCCATCTTATGCTAAGAGTCAGAGGACAGAGCCCAGGGCCACCAGAGTGACTGGAAATTGAGAGGTGCAGGTTCAGAGTTTTGAAAGCTAGGCAGAGATTTCAGCTCCTGTCCACGGATCGGGAGACAGAATTTGCAGTTTGAATCCTGCCAGTGTTTCCAAGAGAGGCTTTGGGACTATCACTGAAACCTAGGGGGGTGTCATACCTAGGGACAAAGACTGGGTTCCCAGGATTAAAGACTTTCCCTCAGACCAAGGGAAAAATCTTGAACAACCCTACCCCAAAACAGAATCCAACAAGTTTCTCCAGCTTCGAGGTGATGTTCCCTCATCAACCGCCCGGTGTGGTCAGCGGAAGAATCCAGAATCTCTAAAACTGTCATCCATGAAAAACAGCATGCCATAAAAAGCCACGGACATGCAGGGGAATGAGACAAGGGGCTTTGAGATCAAAGACAGAAAACCACTCAGTAGACACAAAGCCAAGGCCCGCCCCAGGCCCGCCACACGTCAGATGGAGACCTCTAGATAGCAATTCCAACAGTCCAACCACTGTGGAAATCGGCATGGAGGTTCCTCAAAAGACCAGCCACAGAACCACCGCAGGGCCCAGCTGGGCCACTCCTTGGCATTCATCCTGAATAATTAGAGCCAGATAGTACAGCGACCCATGCACACCCTGTGATGGCCGCAGTTCATAAGCCCAACGGTGGGACCAGCCTAGGTGTCCACTGGTGGATGAATGGATGAAGAAACTGTGGAGTCTATACACACTGGAGCTTCATTCAGCCGTAAAGAAAACGGAATTAGGTCATTTGCAGGAAAATGGATGGAACTTGATTAGGTTGAGTGATTATGTTAAGCCAAACTCAGAGGGCCCAGCGCTATGTGTTCTTTCTAATGTGTGGAAGAGAGAGAGGAAAATGGGGGGAGGGTGTCTCATGAAAATCCAAAGGGGATCAGGAGAAGACAGGGATCGGGGAGGGAGGGGAGGAGGGGAGAAATCCCGGGGGGTCGATATCGGCCAAATCGTGTTGCTCCGTTTTGTGCGTGGATTAAACCTAACAAGAGTCCCCCACTATGTTCAACTACAGGGCACCAATAAAACTTCGGGGAACTAAAAAGGAATGGCAAATGTCAGTGTGTTTAAGGACTTAAGGGAAACATTGCCATGTGAGGGAGCCGGTGAAGAATTGCAGGAAAGAATAGAAACACACACACACACACACACATTTTTTAAAGAACCAAATGGAAATTCTAGAACTGACAAGACCCAGAAATGACAAATTCAGCAGATAGGTTCAGCATATTGGAGGTCACAAAATGCAGGGTCGATGAGCCAGAAGATAGGTCAATAGAAGTTCTCCAATCCTAAGAATAGAGAGGGGGAAAGGTTTTTTGTTTTTTTGTTTTTCCTTTCTTAATATTTATTTTTTTAGTTTTCGGCGGACACAACATCTTTGTTTGTATGTGGTGCTGAGGATCGAACCCGGGCCGCACGCATGCCAGGCGAGCATGCTACCCCTCGAGCCACATCCTCAGCCCCAAGGGAAAAGGTTTTTTTTAAATGGAAATCTTAGTGACATTTTCTACAATATCAAACAGTTTAATGAATGTGTGATTAGAATTTCAGAAGAGGAAAAAAACATGGACGGAAACATATTTTTAAAAATATGGTTGTTGGGGCTGGGGATGTGGCTCAAGCAGTAATGCGCTCGCCTGTCATGCGCGGGGCGCTGGGTTAGATCCTCAGCACCACATACAAATAAAATAAAGATGTTGTGTTCACCAAAAACTAAAAAATAAATATTAAAAAAATTTTCTCTCTCTCTCTCTTAAAAAAATATGGTTGAAAATGACTTGTTTGATAGAAAGCATTAACTTATAAACCCAAGGATCTCAATAAACTTCAAGGAAGGTGAATTCTCTCTCTCTCTCTCTCTCTCTCTCTCTCTCACACACACACACACACACACAAGCATGGAGGCAGGTCATACCCAAACTCTTGAAAAGAAAAAGAGAAAACCAAAAACCTCAAGCAGCACTCCCCACAAAATGACACACCACATACATGAGATCAGTGATATGGGCCCCCATATGATGGACTGATATTTGTTGAAACTTTGTATTTTAAAAATATATCCTTCAGTTCAAAAAACTCGAAAAATTAAGAATAATAGAAACCAGTCTCAACTCAGTGGAAGGTATCTATGCCGAGCCCAAGGCCAACATCGTTCTACATGGAGAAAAACTGAAAGGTGTGGCGGAAGAGCAGCTCTCGGCTGGGTCAGCAAGCAGAGAGGTGCCGGGAAGGGGGCCACAGGGAAGCCACACCCTTCCAGG